GTGAGTGGCGCTTTTTTATTTTAGTTTATTCCGAATGCCATATTGCCATGTGATATTTTAAAATGAAAATCCCGCCACGATTAATACGCTCACACATATGTGTACGTACTGTAATCTGGAACAACGCATAGAAATGTGTATGCTCACTTACACTCTGCATGAAAGCTTGCCTGTGTGTATAGAATGGCAAATTCAGTCTATGCCAAAATGCACAATTTTCACATTCGACTAAATTTATTCGACACTGGGATTCGAAATGCATAAATTTACCAATGAAACACCAATAAATAAATTAAACGCATGACTACCGGGCAAAGAGGGTGGTTAGAGGTTGAAGCTGGAAGGGATTGGGGTAATGAAGGCACAGCAGTTGTGTATATATCTATCTATTTTAGTAACTTCACTTGAGCATTTTATGACTTAAAAATTAAAATGTTTTTAATAATATTGTATATATACTGCAAAATCTGGAATGGTATATATCAAGAAGCAGTCCATATATTTATATATACATAAGCATTCTAACATATGTATAAACATATACATATATATGAACTTATGTGTGTGACTACATTTGATAAAATGTCTTTAAAGCACAGCTAAAAGTCCAATCATAGATTTATTCAGCATCGCCCCACAGAGCACGTTCATATCATGTACATACTATTTGCAAAAAAGCAATTTAAACTTTAGACAACAACAAACAATTCTCGCCATCGATATCCACACTTCAGCAGTCCAATTGGGGCGAGAAACCAGCCGCTTAACCACTTAAGTGTGTAATTGTATATTTATMTGTATTATTTAATAAATGATCGTCTCCGTCAATATATCGGAAGCTCTTCATGTGAAAATACAGACGCTACAATTTTCACTAGATGGATTTTGTATATAGTACTTATTAATTACATATACAAGTAGTACATTTGATTAACATTTGCGAGCTAGAGCATATGATTCATTGAAATAATATTTAAGCACGCAGCATATTAATGTGAACGTAAAAATTAAATTTTTATTTTTAAACCAATGCAGCAAATAAATAGCAAATAATTACAGCCCCACATTCATATGTGTATACAATACATAAAATCATTAATATCAAATTTATTTATTGACCACTTTTTCAYAGTCTTGGCAAACTATTTCGTCTACAGTAGTACGTGCACTTCATATACCGCGCGTTTTAGCTCAAATGATAATTTACTTAATACAACTCTCATATACTCMATTTGGTAAATCTATTAGAGGAGATATTATACTGTACTTACACACACTTACATATTCGTCATCGTATGGATTCGTCTATAAAAATACCACTCGTATATTCTTGTAGTATTTATGTGTGGAATACAATGTCTGCAAACGACATCTGTCAAATATTAAAATACACACGTTCTTATGGGCAGACCTATATTGACAGCTGCACGACTACACGACTGCTGGCCGACAGTTGTCGTTCTCGCTAACTTCAATATGATCCTATATTTGATAACGACAGTAGGACGACAGCAGAGTTGAGAGTAGAATGGAAGATAGAGAGATGAGGTAGAGTGGTGATGCCACTAATATGTAAAATGTTAAATTACTGAAAGCTCTAACAAACCTGACGTTATTTTACAAATAAAAGCATAAAATGGCTCTGTTACATCATTTATAATAACAACTGATAATTTAAAACAAATAAATTTACCTATTTACTTATTTTTTGCTTAAAAATTTTACTTTGAACAAAATATTAAAATTTCATTGATATGCAAGGTATTAGGCCACAACGAAACTGTCTACATGCAAAATGGACAACTGCGTTATTTTGTGTACGTGCCGGCTATTGTTATGTTGCTGCCCTCTCACAAACGTTCATGTAGTAGGATTCACAACGCCATTTTCAGTTCACTGTCGTGCTGCTGCAGTCTGTCGCGAGCATTGTGTTCCGCACATGAACCTAACTRATACATTACAAGTAAGCCGTATGTAAAGTTGGAGATATTTTAGTACGTTTGTGTATGAGAATKGCAAATAAAATACAACTGTACGTGGCTAAGACTTATGATGACAGTGGTAGAATTAGAAGAGAATTTGTTTCCGTCGAAGTTCGTGTGTATACTTCAGATACATATACAGTTAATACTGAGGTAGCTKATATTACGGTAGCTACATGGCATGTATTTTAGTATTGATAATGCATGTTTAAATTTTATTATTGAAACCTATGTTCTACTCTGGTATTCTACGAAAACRAATTGAGAAGTAAAAAGGAGATACGTTTAATTTGATATTTCGTTAGTAAAAAACGGGCTATTTTCAATTTATTTTATCCATATAAAAAATTAAATATTTTATTCAATAGGTTTATTTCAAAAGTAAAAATTTAAAACAAATTCTTCTTTCAAGACCTTGTAAATTATATRTCAAAAACCTGTGTAAAATTTCTCTAAGATCGGTGGATATATAGCTGAATCCAAAAAATAGTATTTATCCCCTGTAACTCATTAACGAGTGAGCGTCTCTYTTTTAAAAAAATGTATCTTTGTGCCTAAAATGAATAACATCGGACCAATAGTACTTCTTCCCCCATATACCTGTTATACGAATCTCAAACTGCCTGTTCATTGTGAAGCGTATATATCGGTCAGTATGTAAAATACCCTAGCAAAATTAAGTAAACATAAGTATAATAGTGGATACAATTCCAAAATGTGCGAAATTAGTATTACTCCAAATTCCCAAAAATACAATAGTTAGAATATTCACGGTCAGTGAATGAGTTATCTTCATACTAACATCCATGAACTACTTGACTGCAATCAAGTTCTCGAGTATACTACAAGAATAACGGTGAAAATTAATGTAATCATCCAGATTATCTTTCCCGTAGTATACGCAATAAAGTGATTTCTATCYATTTAGACTTTCTATTTGACATTAAATCTTTAAGGTTGGCTAAATTATTTAATCATGCATACAACTTCTTCAAATAATGCCTGTCTTCCGCAACACTTTTAAATATTCAATTCACTTGAAAGGATTTCCCATTAATATTAACTTAGCTTTCTTAATTGTTATCCTTTGATTTCTATAAACAGATATGTTCCTTTGAATTAGAAAGGAATTGATTGACTGTTCTTATCGAAACGAACGGAAAAGGCTCTTAATATCTGTATTCTATATTTTGTAGACTACCATTTTTTTTACCATTTTCTATTCCTTACGCGTTACGACGCAAAGTTGCTTACGTTAGATTTTATGCAAATTTTTATTTACGCAATGTCACACAAACGTAAAGCATTAGATATCAGTGAAAGTGAGGTTTTAGACTGGAAAAGATACAGTGTGACGGTTGATCGAATAAAGATACATAATTTTCAATATAATTTGACTAAAACAATTGAACCTGGTATCCAAACGTTCCTAATCAACGACAAAAACACGCAAATATTTTGATGAAAAAAATCAAACACAAGTAAAATTTCCTTAAACAACAACAAATAAAAGCAAACATTTTTGACTTAAAAATAACAGGGTTAGAAGATATTATTAAATTTTCCTATGACTAACTTTGGCAATGTTTTTGATATTGATGATGAAAGACAATGTCCGAACCATTTTTACCTAAATCTCTGCAGTGCGAAGCAAATGTCTGCGCAGAATCTCAATATAAGACCATGTCGTCAATCGTCTTTCAGTTTTCTCCAACATATTAACACCATTGATCTTCGTGCATCCCCACACTATAATGGAGCTTCCATCAGACTTCAGCTCAGGTCAACGTGATGTAGATACCTCTACCGATCCCAAACCAAATTTACTTTAGCCACATATAGGACCTTCTTCCAATAGCGTAAAACATATCAGTAATGGTACCTCAAATACCAACCAATATAAATATTCAGTCGGATTTGTGATTGAATGCATGTCTAAAACGGAATAAAAAAAGTAAAGAATTTTCAATTGAAACATGATCAAATTCGTGATTCACTGTACATATATATAATTGTGTAAATTTGCATGTTTGCACTAAATTTACTTTTAATATGCGCACCTGACGCATAACACGCGCTTTCTATGAGCTGACGGAGAGCATACCGAGACGAACTAAATTTATGCATATAGATATACATATATATAATATATAAACTAAGATTACGTGCCTGTAAGATGTAGGTGGCTGCTGCAAGAAGAGATAATAGATGAGAATTTGGCTGTCCTAGACCGCAACTTCACTCACTCCGCTCGCACACTCGAACTCATGCTTCATGTTCGGCAAGTGCAATGTGTGTCGCGGATAAATTGCGTTGGGACTTGTGGCACAAAAATACATCTCGCTGTTAATTATGTTGATTTAATGCTACTGGCTAACGATATTGAGCGTCTTTTAATATATGCCTTGTTCCCTCACACTTTTCTTGTATAYGTGTTTTATCATATATTCTAAGTACATATAATATATTAGTAGACATGTAAATGCACGTGTATGAAAGTAACCAACGTAAATSCATCGACCAATGCGATGGTCTAAGAGTGCGTAGTATGATGTGTCAGATGCGTTTTATAGCAGCCAACCGAGCCACGGTTAAGGTAGAGTAAATACCATTTACCTGTGCTGACTTTTATTAATGTTTTATTTAGGAACGAAGTTGCTGTAATATATATTTGAAAGAACTCTGCTCAGCTTAATGCATATGCGTATATGCATCCGTCTTCTAAATCATATTTTGTTAGAAATATTATTTATGTAATTATAATTTTTTTTTGGAAAAAAATCATAAAAAATGTATTGTAATATAATTATAAAGAGCCCTCTTTGTACATTTTTGTTCTCCATTTAAGAAATTATTTTTTTCTTTTAAAACCAATAGACGACTTTTAATAAATTATTTATTATTTTGCAATTATACTTAAATATGAAGGTAGATATAGTATAGTATTTTTGTCTCTAATTTACTCTTTCTGTACATACTCTTTTGAATACTTTTAACAATATTTTCTTTTATTTTCAGGTAAGAGATACTCAGAATCTCTTGCGGGCTCACTTCTTCCGGATTGGCTAGGTAAGTACCAAAATAAAACCATATAAAACCGACCGAACAGTTTTGATTTGTACAACCCCGTTAAATATTGTTTTGTATTAATTATATTTTGCAATCATATTTATATACGAATATAGCCCAAAATTGATGATTATTTTTATTTTCAATTTACTGAAAGGTTATTATTCTTCGTTTTGGCTTGAAATGCAAAATTAATTCATAAAATTATATGTCGTTGGCTTAGTGGACAAACGTAAAAATTATATTTTTATTAAAGAAAAGTTTTAACTTAAGTAAAAAAGAATATACCGTGGACCGTTAAGACCGTGGAAATTTTCTGATTTTTTTTTTTCGAGAATTACGACTTGGGGTCGCTACAACTTTATCGAATAAACTGAAAAATTCATTTTAAAAATGAAATTTTGATTTTATAAAGTGGACGTTAGTACTATAAGCCAGCGATTTTCATTTCTGCATATAGATATCGCTTCTCTAAAGAAAATTTGGAATTTTACTTTTAAACTTATCCCTGTTTTTTTTTTGTTTTTTTTTTGTTTTAATATTTTGATTTTTTAAAGTATATTTTTACAAACAGAAATCTTATCTACATTTTTTATGAAATAGATATTTTATGAAACTATGAAATTGGCTTAACAAGCGTTATTTTTTGAAACACACTCATAAAACTATTTATGACCCATTCACAACTAAATTTCACAGGCTTTTATGCACTCACACCTACACCAATATTCAGAAACACAATATAATAATTATATTGTAAATTAATTTTTGAAATTAAAATCACTGTTTCCGACAAAAAAAGGAAATCGACACACGAACTCAAGCGCTTTTACTGCTCCATACTTTAAACACTAAATAAAAATATTTACATACAATAAGGAGTATATTAAAAAAGCTTTTTTGAATTTTGCTTTAATTATTGATTGTGTGTTTAGTTCTCCTCTCCAACGTAAATATTATTTTTGAAAAGAAAAGTCAAATTCAATTGCCGAAGGAGCGATGATGGGCTTGTTGTCGTTATTACAAGTCACTGGGCATCAAGAGCAGAAGGTAACAAATCATTAAATTTTAGATGTTGTACTTTTAAATGTTTTCGACGATAGCGCATTATTAATTATGTTTTCACCCTAAATTAAAATAAAGGCATTATGGCTCTTATAAATAACATTTTATATAAATATAAAACAATACAATGAGCATAGGTAAACATAAAATTWTTAGCTCAGTAACGAATTGCATGCGCATGTGAGATTTAGTGATATAGATATACATATAAGTATAAATATACGTAATTTCACCAAAGTRATATGAGCTTAAAGTGTAAAGAGCAGAGCAAAAGACAATGCAGCGATTTGTTGTACTTTAAAATATTTAATTGGCAACTTAAGGTAATTATTACTTACATRCGTTTGTTAAACAGCAGAACAAGATATTTTTATGATTGCATGTTGTGATTAAATTAATATATCAAACGTGTCATGATCACGCACATATATGTAAGTAGAATATTAAAACAATACCAAAACATATGAGTTAGAAATTATTACATAAGCTTTCGAAAAATTCGCCGAATTCCGAAAAGGGCCTAACGTGTGTAATGAAATGGCCTTTTGTTATMATCATTAAAATAATATACGAAATAAATACTTTTTGATTTTCATAAAACCAATTCGTGTAGTCGACGATAAGTCTTCAATYGTTTTTCCAATATTATCTCTTACAAAACGAACGTACTATGTATTAATAAAATGAWTTCTTTAGCTTTTAGAGGAAACTTTTGTGTCCTATTTTCGAAAAGTCAGCTAAGATTTGTTGAAATCCATGGTCTAGACTTTAAAATAAGTTTTATGTATACATATATAGTGATGACCTGATTTAATATTCTAGATAATAATGTTTYCAGAATTAGCCCTTGGAAAGCTATGAGGGAAGAGGTAATTTTTGGAAACATATTCTTTATATTTCTTTATAATATGCACCAGTGAGCCAAAAATATTAATATCTTCTTCTTCTTGATTGGCGTAGTCACCAATTAAGCGATTATAGCCGAGTTAAAAACAGCGCGCCAGTCGTTTCTTCTTTTCGCTACGTGGCGCCAATTAGATATTCCAAGTGAAGCCAGGTCCTTCTCCACTTGGTCCTTCCAACGGATTTGAGGTCTTCCTATTCCTCTGCTTCCCCCGGCGGGTACTGCGTCGAATACTTTCAGAGCTGGAGTGTTTTCGTCCATCCGGACAACATGACCTACCCAGCGTGGCCACTGTCTTTTTCGTCCAAGTCTCTGCACTATATAGCAGGACGGGAATTATGAGTGACTTATWGAGTTTGGTTTTTGTTTGTCGAGAGAGGCTGCTGGCGTATGCCGATGAAATTGATATCATCAGCCTCAACACCCGCGCCGTTAGTTCTGCTTTCTCCAGATTGGACAAGGAAGCAACACAAATGGGTCTGGCAGTGAACGAGGGCAAGACGAAATATCTCCTGTCATCAAACAAACAGTCGTCGGACTCGCGACTTGGCACTCACGTCACTGTTGACAGTCATAGCTTTGAAGTTGTAGATAATTTCGTCTATCTTGGAACCAGCGTAAACACCACCAACTATGTCAGCCTAGAAATCCAACGCAGGATAATTCTTGCCAACAGGTGCTACTTCGGACTGAGTATGCAATTGAGAAGCAAAGAAAATATTAATATAATTCTTTAAAAAACATTATTCAAAAGTATTATATTTCAATACAGAGGAGATATGTGAATACATACATATATATTAATACACCCTGATGACTAATAACACATACACATTTCTTTTTACTGATTCCAATGCTTCCTTTGCCAATAATATGCTAAATAAAAAAACCTTTATTGTTCGCCTTCACTTTATTTAGGTATGTACATACATTCATGAATGTATAAAAAACATTTTACCCTGTGCTTTGGCTTAGGAGTTCTTAAGAGAAACGTAGAATCCATTAGAAAATTAATAAATAAAATAAATGAATGCGGTTTACCAAAGCAAAACTCAAACTCTTACATCAGTGTAATAGTCTTCATTATGTGTATACAAAGATTAACCCCATATTATATAAAAAACAATTTATTTATTTATTCGGCTTATGTTCATCGAACAAGCGAATTGATTCGACAACGATGCTATAGCTGTCTCTTATACACATCTAGATGTGTATAAGAGACAGTGTGTATACAAAGATTAACCCCATATTATATAAAAAACAATTTATTTATTTATTCGGCTTATGTTCATCGAACAAGCGAATTGATTCGACAACGATGCTATAGAAGCCCACAAACCACTGAGTTAACAGAATTGTAGTAAGAAAAGGGAATATTCTTAAATTATATGAATTAATGTAATGCATTGGATAGCTTAAGAGTGTGGGTAGAGTGACGTACTTACATTTATCACTAATTTTGTAGTGATACAAAAACTTAATAAAAAACAAGAAAGGAAGAGCTAAGTTCGAGTGTAACCGAACGTTTTATAGTTACAAGTGGTTCGGGATAAGTTTTCACATGGTTTCATTACAAAAAATAATTAATTTTATATATATAACTCACATATTTATCGATTTGTACGATATAAAGTCACACACAGACAAACTATTATCAAGAAAAGTTTATCTCCATTTATTGGTGCTCGGTTTACATACTGGAAAGTGAAAGAATCAATGTGGTCGATAAGGTATATATTGTATTTATTTATTGATTTATTGGGGTTTTAGTAAATTGTAATAGTACCGTTATATATGGAGTACGCGGGGTTATCTTATGATTTAATCCATTATCACAGTGTCCGTAGGGGTGGTTAAGAAATCGATAGGTGAACAAAACTATTATAATCTGGAATAGGATGTTGCAAGAGTATAAAAATCGCGAATTGGTGTCGACAATTATTATTACATTATATTGATATATAAAAATATAGGTATTATAAAATCAAAACAGTTATATTAAAATCTTAGTGAGTATACTAATTACGGAGGAACATGGTAACATACTACCGCTTCCTTTCTAACACCTGAACCCTTCGTTAACGGTTAAATATCCTATTAAAAGGCATGTGGTTATTTGTAGTAGCCTGAAATACTTTAAAGCTTCAATTAACGAATAACTATGGTTTTGGCTGTCACRGACCGGAGCCATCTACAAAGCAATTGTTTTGAGGATAGTACTTAGTATGAATGGTTCTGTGTAAGCATTTTCAGGCAGTAGTTCTGTTTCGCGCCCACAAACTGCACTGMGCATTCTTAGTCACCCGCTCAACTCTCGTTAATTTAGTCATGCTTTTGGGCTGGTGGAGTGTTTGCAAAATTGATATATGTACTAAGCATACGAACACATGGCTATATGAGATGCAGAACTCCCGAAATCGTCACTTTTTTCGGAGTAGGACTTGTTATTTGTTTGTTTAAAAGAATGAATATGCTCACATATTTAGCAAGAGGCTTCCTATGGCCAGTTATCACAATTGTGTTCTGTTTGAGTTTGCAGTACAGTCGGTCACTTTATTTCCGCTGCCAACGTAGTTTAATTGCTCTATTGAGATACTGCAAATTAGTTAAATGACAGAAAGTAATAAACAACACGCTGCTATTAGCTTCACCTGTATCTATATATGCATTGGTGTGTGCATATAAGTTTGTATATTTGTAACGTTTACCTGTTCGTTTGTGRCTTGAGTACAAATTGAGATATCTTAATGAAATTTGCCACATATATTCCCTGGCACCCATTGACCGGAATACTGCCACACCTATATAACGGCATTAAACAAAAACCTATAAAGTGTCACTAAATTAAAACACTGAAGTGTCATTTGTTGACTGATATAACAAAAAACGGGAATAGATCTGCTCTAAAGTTGGTTTAATTTACATATCTTCCAGGCCGCTAAAGCTAACTCAATCACTTTTGCTCGAAAGAAGTATCTTTACCATTTCTTCATACTCTTAGAGGAGAGTAAACTCTGATAATAGCCAC